CCTGTATGAGAGTGGGGCGGGGGGGGGGGTGAATATTAGTTAAATGAAACTAGCAGACAGAAAAAGAAATTACACCCATAATTTCGAAAAAAAATTAAGTAAATGTTGAGACATAAAATTGTGTCCACCAAGGCAAATGTGTATAAGGGATTAGAGATTAGGCATCAAAAAATTAAAGATCAGAGTAAAAGACAAAGTACAAGATAAATTATACATGTAAAAGATGGCAGATGATTGAGAAATTTGATATAATAACTTTATTGTGTAACAGTTTATAGTTATACTATAGCATTATTGTGTTAAAGTTTATAGTTATAGACTTTTGGGTAACAGTTTATAGTTTTAGACTATTGTGTAACACAAATTCAATTTTAATTGTTGATATTGAGTTCATGTCAGACAGCAGAAGCACAATAATAATTTTTTAAAAATATATTCAGGTTTTGACAAAAATAATAAGTAACAATCTTATATTATTTTAATTATAATATTTTAACTAGTAATTATAATATGTTAAAACCCAAATGGGGGCTAAATGTATTTCATTTAAATCAAAAGCCCATATGATGCCATATGTATGTTGTTCAGTTGTTAATACACATCTGTAGAAATTATTGTATGTCCGTCTTCTGGATATTTGAATTTATATGTTTTCCTATTATTCGAACAGTATCTTGGAGCATAGATGATTAAATATGGTAGCCCAAAGCAACATATAATTATATCTTATTAATTAAGGGTGGCTATTAAAAATGTAAAGATCAGTAAATAATGTGGTGGGGTAGCTTAATCTAAAAGGTTTTGAAAATGTAAGTTTTTACTTAAGCTAAACAATATTAATTCTAAACTGGTGTGGTTTCTGTGTATCTATGTTTACAAACTATGTCTAAATTGGTGTGTTTCTATGTTTACAAACTATGTCTAAATTGGTGTGTTTCTATGTTTACAAACTAGGTCTAAATTGGTGTTTTTCTATGTTTACAAACTATGTCTAAATTGGTGCGTTTCTATGTTTACAAACTAGGTCTAAACTGGTGTGTTTCTACATTTACAAACTAGGTCTAAACTGGTGTGTTTCTACATTGACAAACTAGGTCTAAACTGGTGCTTATTGCAATGTTTACAAACTAGGTCTAAACTGGTGTGTTTCTACATTTACAAACTAGGTCTAAACTGGTGTGTTTCTGTGTTTACAAACTAGGTCTAAATTTCAATTCTATCCTGTGTTCTACATCTGCATGCCTATTGTGTACCTGGTGGGGCAAATGTTATGGGGAGTAATCTGTGCTAGCCAGAGGAGCTAATAAGCCGAGTTAAGTGTGTGTCAGATATAGTTACTGTTACACAGGTAGGGCACACTGCTGCTACCTGTACCAATTACACACAGCAGGGCAACATCAGCTCAGGTGCCAGACCCGAGTGTGCTACTCTGATGGTAGTTGATAATTAAGTTAGGCTAGGTAATGACTTACCTGGCTTTTCTGAATCAGGGCAGGTAAGGATGTCCGCCGGGCTGACCTGTGTGCTGAGAACGCGTGTGCACTCGATGAACTGGACCTCCTCCGTTTTATAACAGGTATCTTCCCGTCCTGTGTGGTCAGGTTTTGTATCTGCGGTTTGAGCACAGTTTCCATGTACTTGGCCACGATATTCCCTGCGAATCCACACGAGTACGCGACGAAAGGGCGCAGGCCGTACGGCACATCTTGGAGGGCCGAGCAGGCCAGGAAACGAGTGAAACTCACCAACAAAATGACACCGGCGCTGTGGCTCGTCTCCAAACTGGAGAACACACTGGCCACGCTGATGAACAGCAGCACACACACAATAACAAGAGGCTGTGTCGTGTAGTTGGACAGCAACGCCGACGATGCGAGGTCGCCCCCTCCCCCGTGCAGGGCCGAAGTCTCCTCTGTTGTTGTTGTTGTCGTGTGTGTGCTCTCGCCCCAGTCACGCAGAAAGATTTGAGCGAAGCACTCGCCGATGTAGCAAGAACAGAATAACAAATAAATACTTGTATTGCTCCAAGTGCGACGAAAATACAAAGATAGCCAATAGAAAGCACACATAATACAAAACATGGGGACGACCAGCGAGCACAGGCGCTGAAATAGGATTCCCACATCACAGCGTAGTAGCTGGTAGAATAACACACCGCCGACGAGCGCGGTCGCCCCGTAACACACTCCGAGCTGTTGAGCACTGAAATTCGCCTTATTTAAGCCTAACCACTTTAATAAATAACCGTAGCTGCCCTGCTCCAGTGGCTTGACGAACACCTGGATGTATCCATTGTTTTCGGCGTCGTCCTCGTCCTTCTCTGCATCATTTTTCGAGCCCCTACGCGACACACTGTTTCTCACCAGTGCCATTTTGTTTCTATTGTTTTTTTTTTATTTTTTTATTTCTGCTCCGTAGTGAGCGCAGGGGGTTGTGGGTAGAGAGGGGGATAACTTATTTAAAAAACACCGAGTTTCGTAAGTCGTCTGCTACGCTGAACAGATAACCCGGAGGTTGTTATTTTTTAAAATAAATACATTTTTTAAATAATAATAAACGGCGCGGATGGATTTATTATTTTAAAAACAAACTGAACTGAAACAACTACCAACAACAGTGCTAATATAATAAAGGTACACACTACACAGATGCACTCAATGAACAGCACACTCCACGCGTATTCCGCTTGTTGCGTCAGAGCTATTGGATTCAAGAATTAAACACATTGCTAACAGCAGCGTGTCCACATTTTCACAATTTTGTTCGAAAGCCGGGCTCTTTCCCCCCACGAGTGTGGTGGCGGTGTGAAGATACGGCGAGGTTTCATTGAGGCAACCGACAAGCGCGGCGGTGTTGCCCTCGCCGTGCAGTCGCTGCAGTTGGCGGCTACTGGTGCTTGTTCTTGTAAATAATTTCTCCCCCCCCCCCCCTGTATTTAAACCGAGGGGAGCCGAGGTCAAAGGCAGTCAAGTCGCGGCTTTTCGTGGCTAACCGGTATTATGTACAAGCATTTTATTGATAGGGTGTGACGAATGTCAAGTACGCACATTGGTATAACGTCCCCCTTTGTCGTGCGTACTGATATTCATCTGATGAAGTTCAGCTGAAATGTTGATATCGATGCCGCGATTTGCTATATAACATTACTTTAAAGTAAGCGTTGCGTAAGAGCTGTCTCTAATGTATGTACGACGTACGTCATCGCTTGGTCAAACCAATTGCCAATAGTGAATCAATAATTAATAATATCAAATTATGAAACCAAATATTGAGATGCATTTATTCTCTTCATATTTCCTTCACTGTTTAATATATCTCTATCCCTCTCTGTCTCTCTCTCCACCACAACTCTCTGTCTCTCTCTCTCTCTCACTCACTCTCACTCTATCTCAATCTCCCTCTCTCTCTATAAATATGTATCTCTTTTACTCTATTGTGCTCTAACATTTTACAAAGTTGTGTATATTAATTATTATTACAATTTTTATCTCTAAAATCCCCATATATATTCACTATTGTCGTTCTAGGGTCCTTGTCATCATTGATACACCTCATCATTGCTTGCCATATCCCATCATTGCTCGCCATATACCATCATCACTCGCCATATACCATCATTGCTTGCCATATCCCATCATTGCTTGCCATATCCCATCATTACTCGCCAATCCCATCATTGATAGCCATATCCCATCATTACTCGCCATATACCATCATTGCTTGCCATATACCATCATTACTCGCCATATACCATCATTGCTTGCCATATCCCATCATTACTCGCCATATCCCATCATTGATAGCCATATCCCATCATTATTCGCCATATCCCATCATTGATAGCCATATCCCATCCTACTAATGGACGGCTCCTCACAGATTTCTTAATCTTTTTTTTTGTTTGGGATTTGTTCCCTCTGTTCCTCAAAGTAACCCCTCCACAGAGCCACTCTCGTTCCCTCTGTTCCTCAATGTAACCCCTCCACAGAACCAATCTCGTTCCCTCTGTTCCTCAATGTAACCCCTCCACAGAGCCAATCTCGTTCCCTCTGTTCCTCATTGTAACCCCTCCACAGAGCCACTCTCGTTCCCTCTGTTCCTCAATGTAACCCCTCCACAGAGCCAATCTCGTTCCCTCTGTTCCTCAATGTAACCCCTCCACAGAGCCAATCTCGTTCCCTCTGTTCCTCATTGTAACCCCTCCCCAGAGCCACTCTCGTTCCCTTTGTTCATCATATTAACCCCCCCCCCCCCCCCACCCCCCCCCCCCCNATGACATAGTACGCTATGTTTAATTTTGTCATCTTGGGCCATGAGGGAAAAAAAAAAGGGGGGGGGGCGGGCATAACCTCGTCCAAGATTGGGGGAAGGGCAGTCTTTCCTGGTTTTTGAGTATTGTGTTATTAGCACGGATGCCAAGTAAATGTTCAAATACAGAGACCCAGCCCTCACCTCCACCCACCCTCTTTAAAGCTCAGTTTTTTCTCGTGAATATGTTATTACATTCTTAATGCACAATTAGTACGTAATGAAACTTGATGTAGGACCAGGGGCGCGCACAGTGAGTCTAAGGAGGGGCGTTCCGTTCCGGGCGGTACTTTTTTCTTTATATGTAGGGTAACTGACGAGTTCTGTCGTTGAAGTGTGTGTGTGTGTGGGGGGGGGGGGGGGGGGGGGGGTGGGGGGGGCTGAATGTTTCGAAAATTTAGCTGGACATTGCTTTAATTTTATTTGATTCAGGGAAATGTCATTCATTATGACAGTAAATGGCATTCATCATGTCAGTATATGACATTCATCGAGACAATAAATGGCATTCCACATGACATTAAATGGCATTCATCATGGCAATAAATGGCATTCCACATGACATTAAATGTCATTCATCATGACATTAAATGTTATTCATCATGACAGTAAATGTCATTCATCATTGTAAATGGCATTCATCATGGCAATAATTGTCATTCATCATGACATTAAATAATTTTCTGAATTCTGTGCGTTTTATACATGTAAGCATTACCTCTGGTACGGTCTGCTGTGCAAAAGTACAGCTAGGAGTACATCAACACCCAACACACATATACGGCTTCCATAACATGGTACATCAGGGGGTGTAGTAATAACACCGCTGTACATGTCTCGTGTAAACACATACACGGCCGGTTATGTCATTGTTCTATGTGTACAAAATCATCAGTTTAGAACTAAATGGAAATGATCTGTTTGCTGAGTCTAAATTTAAAGACAAGGCAGCAAATGTCAGACATACATACACAGAGTATGTATCTTATTAGCGATGACAAACGAGACACTGTCAGACATGCATAGAAAGAGGATGTGTCATGTTAGTGATGACAAAGGAGACACTGTCAGAGACAGAGTGACTTCAGAGCGACCTGTATTCATCAAAAAGCTCGAGGCGCTAGAAGGTAACAGCTTTTTCACGACCTGTTAAGTCGTGTAGTTCAGGTGTTTGATGGAATGAGGTCAGGTGTTGGATAGCCTGAGGTCAAATGTCTGATAGACTGAGGTCAGATGTTTGATAAACTGAGATCAGGTGTTGATAGACTGAGGTCAGGTGTTGGAGAGACTGAGGTCTGGTGATGTAGAGTGTGAGGTCAGGTGATGTAGAGTGTGAGGTCAGGTGATGTAGAGTGTGAGGTCAGGTGATGTAGAGTGTGAGGTCAGGTGATGTGGAGTGTGAGGTCAGGTGATGTAGAGTGTGAGGTCTGGTGATGTAGAGTGTGAGGTCTGGTGATGTAGAGTGTGAGGTCTGGTGATGTAGAGTGTGAGGTCAGGTGATGTAGAGTGTCAGGTCAGGTGATGTAGAGTGTGAGGTCAGGTGATGTCGAGTGTGAGGTCAGGGATGTAGAGTGTGAGGTCAGGGGATGTAGAGTGTGAGGTCAGGTGTTGGAGAGACTGATGCCAGGTGTTGGAGAGACTGATGCCAGGTGTTGGAGAGACTGATGCCAGGTGTTGGAGAGACTGATGCCAGGTGTTGGAGAGACTGATGCCAGGTGTTGGAGAGACTGATGCCAGGTGTTGGAGAGACTGATGCCAGGTGTTGGAGAGACTGATGCCAGGTGTTGGAGAGACTGATGCCAGGTGTTGGAGAGACTGATGCCAGGTGTTGGAGAGACTGATGCCAGGTGTTGGAGAGACTGATGCCAGGTGTTGGAGAGACTGATGCCAGGTGTTGGAGAGACTGATGCCAGGTGTTGGAGAGACTGATGCCAGGTGTTGGAGAGACTGATGCCAGGTGTTGGAGAGACTGATGCCAGGTGTTGGAGAGACTGATGCCAGGTGTTGGAGAGACTGATGCCAGGTGTTGGAGAGACTGATGCCAGGTGTTGGAGAGACTGATGCCAGGTGTTGGAGAGACTGATGCCAGGTGTTGGAGAGACTGATGCCAGGTGTTGGAGAGACTGATGCCAGGTGTTGGAGAGACTGATGCCAGGTGTTGGAGAGACTGATGCCAGGTGTTGGAGAGACTGATGCCAGGTGTTGGAGAGACTGATGCCAGGTGTTGGAGAGACTGATGCCAGGTGTTGGAGAGACTGATGCCAGGTGTTGGAGAGACTGATGCCAGGTGTTGGAGAGACTGATGCCAGGTGTTGGAGAGACTGATGCCAGGTGTTGGAGAGACTGATGCCAGGTGTTGGAGAGACTGTGATCAGGTGTTGGAGAGACTGTGATCAGGTGTTGGAGAGACTGTGATCAGGTGTTGGAGAGACTGATGCCAGGTGTTGGAGAGACTGTGATCAGGTGTTGGAGAGACTGTGATCAGGTGTTGGAGAGACTGTGATCAGGTGTTGGAGAGACTGTGATCAGGTGTTGGAGAGACTGTGATCAGGTGTTGGAGAGACTGATGCCAGGTGTTGGAGAGACTGATGCCAGGTGTTGGAGAGACTGATGCCAGGTGTTGGAGAGACTGTGATCAGGTGTTGGAGAGACTGTGATCAGGTGTTGGAGAGACTGTGATCAGGTGTTGGAGAGACTGATGCCAGGTGTTGGAGAGACTGTGATCAGGTGTTGGAGAGACTGTGATCAGGTGTTGGAGAGACTGTGATCAGGTGTTGGAGAGACTGTGATCAGGTGTTGGAGAGACTGT